GGAGGAGGCTTGAAAGTCATGGGAAATGTTTGGAGGTCGAGGGGAAGACCTAAAGACCAAAACGAGGAGGTTTAGAGGGCAAAGGGGAGGTAACTACCATGGCGGAGGGCTCTGGAGGTCTGGGGGAGGTCTGACGTTCATGAGGGAAGGGAGAGAGAGAATGGGAAATAGGAAGAAGAGGAAGAAAATTAAAAGAGAAGGGAAGCTCCGACCGGGGGAGGGGAAAGAAGAGGGAAAGGGAAATGGCGAGAAAGGGAAAGAGGGAGAGAAAAAAGTGGCACGCGGGGAAGCACTTTCCTTGGAACGGGAAGAGAGGGGGAGGATAGAGAGGGGGAGGATGGGGAGGGGGGATAGAGAGGGGTAGGATGGAGAGGGAACAAGGTGGGGATGAGGAGGTAGGGATGTTGAAATGTTAGAGAGAGAGAGAGAGAAAATTAGTAATTAAGGAGAGAAAAGCAAGACCCATTCTCGTCCCTAAGTCACCTTGGCATAAGTCACTTTTTCCCCTCTCCTCTATTACCTCTTCTGGTCTGTACCGAGTAAAGATAGCCAGCACAAGCAGTTAACATCGTCTGGCGTTTATGTCTATCTGCAAAAAAAACAACAACAGGGTTAAGGAATTTACGCCAGACTTATGTTCGCTTGACTTTAGGATGTGAGAATCCCCCTCCATACACCTCTCCCTCCCCCTACCCCCCCTACCCCCCCTCTCTCCCCCTCTCTCCACTAACTCCCGGACCATATATCTACCTCACATCTCCCCAAGTCCTCCCCTCCCCACGATTCTCCCCCTACTCCTAACTAGCTTACTGGCCTCGTCACCCCTTCTTCACGCCTCCATCCTCCCCAAATCCTCTCCCCTCAAAATTATAGCTCCCCGATCATCTGTCTTCCCTTCCTGGATCTCCCCTTCCTCTAATAAATCACTAAATATCTCTCTCCCTCTCCTCCCTGCCCCTACCTCACACAGGCACGGGTGAAGCTACAGCAGAGGAGCTACCTAGAGAGTGAAGACCTCCTGCGGCAGGTGTTGGATCAGTCCCCAGGGCATCAGGAGGCGCTCTTCCAACTCTCACTCCTCTACACCCACACTAACCGCACCCAGGACGCCCTCACCCTCGCCTATAGAGCCGCGCATAATTGTACGAGGCCGCCCAGACTCTGTGCCCACCTGCACGCCCATCACGGTGACCTGCTGAACGATAGACACAGTGTAGATGAGGCCGCCCAGGTGAGTGTGACTGACGGCATCTCCTTGTATCGTGCCGTGTTGGTTAGGCTAGGTTAGGTTAGGTTAGTGACGTCAGACATCTGGTTTAGTAAAAGGTCGAAATATTCTGCTGGTAGAATTATTTTCCAATTCGAGAGATTATTTTATTATCATATCAGTAATGAGAATAAGATTATTATTATTATTATTATTATTATTATTATTATTATTATTATTATTATTATTAATATTATCATTATTATTATTATTATTATTATTATTATTATTATTATTATTATTATTAGTAGTAGTAGTAGTAGTAGTAGTAGTAGTAGTAGTGGTAGTAGTAGTAGTAATAGTAATAGTAACAGTAATACATTTTTCATTAGAGCTCTTAAACTAAAAACTGTTCGTCTTTACAGAGTTACCAGCAGGCAGTGGACCTAGAGCCTACCCTCACCCACGCCCACGTCAACCTGGGAGCACTCTACCACACTAAGGTGAGTCCTGGGCGTACTCTAGCGTCCCTGTATCCTAACCTAACCTAACCTAACCTAACCTAACTAAACCTAACATAACCTAACCTAATAGACCTAACCTAACCTAACCTAACCTAACTAAACCTAACCTAACCTAATGTCAGTATACCCTCTCCCTTCATCCAGTGCCAACATCGTATACCCTATGACGTGGCACCCCCCCCCCTCCCTCTCATCTGACACTGGTCTTTGTGATTCAGCGGCACTTGGCCAAATATCTCTAATGCGTAGTTGTATCCCATAACTGGCTTGTGTTCACCTGCGCTGACAATGAAACTAACTCCACTGACCAGAATCAACACAAAAAATGAAAACGGTGATTTTTTTTATGCACAATTAATATCTAAATTAGAGCCACGTCATGGATGAATGTTTATACTCATCAAATATCTATGTATATATAAACATTCTTTTTATTTTACATTTAATAAAGAAAATGGTTTTAAATTATGGGGAGCTGAGGATGGGGAGGGAGAGAGAGAGAATAAGGAAACTCTTCACCATCACCACCACTACTACCACTCACTATCACCACCACCACCACTACCATCACCACCACTACTACCACTCACATCACCACCACCACCACTACCATCACCACCACTACTACCACTCACTATCACCACCACATCACCACCACCACCACTACCACCACTATCACCACCTACCATCACCACTACCATCACCACCCTACTACCCTCACTATCACCACCACCACCACTACCACCACCACTACCATCACCACCACACA